CCACCGGGAGCCAGTGCAGCTCGCGCAGGAGGGGTGTTACATGGGAACGCCAAGTCGCTCCCATTACCACCCGCGCGGCCGTACTCTGCGCCAGTTGGAGCCTCCGGGTGCTCCTCAAGGGGAGCCCCATGTAGAGAGCATTACAATAGTCCAGGCATGAGGTGAGGGCATGAGTGACCATGCGTAAGGAGTCCCGATCCAGAAAGGGACGCAACTGGCGAATCAGGCGAACCTGATGAAAAATCCTCCCGGTCACGGCCGTCAAGTTCTCTTCTAAAGACAGCCGTGAATCCAGGAGGACGCCCAAGTTGCGCGCCCTCTCCATGGGGGCCAATGATTTGCCCCCAATAGTGATGGCACCAACTGACTATATCGGGACGTCGGAAACCACAGCCACTCGGTCTTGGATGGGTTGAGCCTGAGCCTATTCCACCCCATCCAGATCCGCACGGCCTCCAGGCACCGGGACATCACTTCAAGGGCATCGTTGGGGTGGTCTGGGGTGGAGATGTACAGTTGGATGTCATCAGCGTACTGATGGTACTTCACCCCCAAACCACAGATGATCTCGCCCAGTGGCTTCACATAAATGTTGAACAGGAGGGGCGAGAGGACCGACCCTTGCGGCACCCCGCATATAAGGGGCCTCGGGGTTGACCTCTGCCCCCCTGTCAACACGGACTGTGACCGGTCAGAGAGAAAGGAGGAGAACCACTGCAACACAGTGCCTCCCACCCCTAACTCCTCCAACCGGTGCAGCATGATACCATTGTCGATGGTATCAAAAGCCGCTGAGAGGTCTAACAGGACCAGGACAGAGGAGCATCCCCTGTCCCGACCCATCCAGAGATCATCTACCAACGCGACCAATGCCGTTTCCGTGCTGTACCCGGGCCTGAAGCCCGACTGGAACGGATCCAGATACGTCGTTTCATCCAGGTGCTGGGGGAGCACCTGGATGAAATTTTTGCTGAGCACAGGCACATTTTAGAAGTGACTAAATTCTGGACTACTTTCTGGTCCTGCTGAGCCAAGGAATATGCTTCCTAGCCCAGACTTTATATTTTCACAGTCCTCATTGATTCCAAATCAGACTTCCTTTTAATCCCAAGGGAGAGTCTGTGGGATAAATGAAAGGGATCCTCAATACACAAAAGGTTGCTGTTTCTCTTTCTTTATTCTAAAACTAAAAAAAAAAATCACTGTTAAAAAAGTGAACAGTTTGTGATTATTTTTCCTGAAACATCTCTGGCGCTGTCACTGCATCCTCCATTTATTATGCCTCAAGGATAAGGCAGGATTGTTGTCAAGATTGAAGGTGCTTATGCTTTTTTGAATCTTACCACTTTTCAACTTGTCAAAGAAATGGGGGGAAGGAGAGGGTGAGATGGAATGCAGATGCTCCAGACATCAACCATGAAAGCCAAGTATCTACCAAGCACGCTTCTGCAGGTGTTGATAAAAACATGGAGTAAAAGCAAAAGACTGATTCATAATTGGACAACGTGACCTGTTCCATGGGAGGAAGGGAGAATGCTATTCTTTAAGTATGCAAGCTTGCGCTGAAAAAGTTAGAGCTGATTTTGAACCTTCAGTGCCAAAATGATGTATTCAATAAAGTTTTGCCTTTGGGATTTTGAAATTCCAGAAAGTGTCTACTTCTGTTGGGTTTGTTAGTCGGAACGTTCACAGTTGTATTTTAGCCTCCCTACTTTTTAATTTGTATATTTACACAGTATTTCAGGAAACTCTTGCTTTCTACATATCTCCCCACTCATGTATTAGGTTGAATGGTCCCAGGGCTTTTAGATGCAGTCAGAATTGTTTGAAGGGTGCTCTCTTCATCCTTGCAACTTGCAAAGCCTTTATACTGTAGCCAGTATCATTTCTCATCTTCAAGTCTGTACATCTACAAAGTTTGATATTATTTAAGCTGTTTGGTCTTAAGTTTATTAGAATAATGCCAACATGTATTAAGAATGCTTCTCTAAGTTTTGAAAAAGGCTTGGTCTCTGAATGCTTCACAACCTTTAAAACTTTTGGCAACCTTTAATTTTTGTTCCCCAGAAAAGGCTTCTTAGAGAACCTTTTAAGTCAACCTGACTAAAAGAAAAGTTATTGGCGAGCTCCATCTCTAGGATTTGCATTGTACAGCTTCTGCCCACTAGATTCTGAAAATGCCAGAAGTGTTCTTAAACAGAGGATCTGGGATATAAATTTTAAATTATTTTAAGTCGGGTTTCACTTTGATCAAACTGGATTATTGTCCTTTGCCATTCCATTGGAGTACTAGAAAAGTATCTCTTTTCAGCAACGCATAAAACCCTGTGGGGATGACTCAGTAGTATCTGAGCCATATGCTTTTTCCCATCTGTTCAGGAAATCCCAGATTATTTTCATACTTCCTATACTAAAGAAATTCCCTGGAAGAGAATTGATTTCTATTTGTCATTTCGTCTTTCTCATCACTTCCAGGGTTGCTCAGTTTTATACTTCCATATATGCCATACTTTTTTGTGTTGATTTTTGATTTTTTTTAATCGCCCTTTATTATTTATAAATAACTCAAGGCAGTGAAAATTCCTAATACTCCTTCTTCCTCTCATTTTCCCCAAATAACAACCATGAGGAGGAGTTGGAGGGGAGAGAGAAAATTTGGCCCAAAATCACCTAGCTGGCTTTCAGTACTATGGCAAAACTAGAATTTATTGTCTCCTCGTTTCTATCCTTGTTCCTTAACCAAGGATTGTATTGATATCTATCCATCCATTAATCCATCCTTCCATCCATGTTTTATTTGTATTGAGCACTAGATTTATTGCTATAATAAATGATTGATTTCATAAATCTGTCAGGATTAGCCATTTTATTGTGTGAAATTTCAAATGAGCATATTGAATCTCTGCCTAATTTTATCTGTTGCCCTTGTGCAGTCCCATAATAGGCAAAATATGAAATTAGTGGTAAACATTATAACAAAGGATGCTACCAGAACTTTGCTTACAGCAATGATTCTTAAATCTGCACATTTGTGGAATATTTGAATCATGTAACAATAAATATTAAACCCATTAAAATCTAATACAAAATTTTCATGAAAAATCCTCTATAGTTAAAAAAATGAAGCTAAGAGCAACATCTAAATTTTTTATAAATATTTTATTTTATTTTTTTATTATTCGTATTTCTATGCCGCCCACTCTCTGAGGACTCTGGGTGGCTTACACCAAAGACAGTATACTAAAAAGCATATTGCCCCCAACAATCTGGGTCCTCATTTTATCCACCTTGGAAGGATGGAAGGCTGAGTTAACCTTGAGCCGATAAGATTTGATCCGCTGATCTGCTGAACTAGCAGTCAGCTGAAGTAGCTGCAGTACTGCACTCTAACCGCTGTGCCACCTCAGCTCTTCTGTATCTGGCAAATAATTTTGATTTTTGGATCTGAGAGAGTCTTCAGGACTCTTAGGACTCCCAGTAACTCTTGAACTACGCTTTAAGGAATATTGGCTTAAAGAATGTCTACCAGCACTTCATATTGGATTTGATATAAAGCTAATACTACTATTGAATGACATTCCAAAGATATTCCCCTCAATCAGAATAGAGCTGGGAGGGACCTTGGAGGTATTCTGGTCCAGCTCCCTGCTTGAGCAGGAGACCCTGCCTATACCATTTCAGACAAGTGACTGTCCAGTCTCCTTAAGAACCCAGAAATGAAGCACCCACAACTTTTGAAAGCAAGCTGTTCCACTGGTTAATTGTTCTCACTGTTAGGAAGTTTCCTTAATTCCAGGTTGCTTCTGTCCTTGATTAGTTTCCATCCATTGTTTCTTGTCTTGCCCTCTGGTGCTTTAGAAAATAAATTGATCCCCTCCTCTTTGTGGCAGCCTCTCAAATACTAGAATATTGCTATGATGTCTCCCCTAGTTCTTTTCTCTAGTCTAGCCAAACCCAAATCCTGCAAGCATTCTTCATGTTTTAGTCTCCAGGCCTTTAATAATCTTAGATGCTCTTCTTCACACTTTTTCCAAAGTCTCAACATATTTTTTGTAATGTGGTGACTAAAACTGGATGCAGTATTCCAGGTGTGGCCTTACTAAGGCTTTATAAAGCGGTATTAATACTTCATGTGATTTTGATTCTATGCCTGTTTATACAACCAAGGATTGCATTCACTTTTTTGGCTGCTGTTGCACACTGCTGACTCGTGTTGAAGTGATCATCCACTAGGACTCCAAGTTTCCTCTCAGTTACAGATTTTGAGCCAGGTTTCGCCCTCCTCACTTATTTTGTTCACAACATGTTTGATTTTAAAACAGCCTTTTCAATGCTTCCTTTTTTGGCTTTAAATTCCACATGACATATATCCTTGGGCACAATTTTGACCTGCCTTGCTAATGACCACTCATTTTCAATTGTCAGATGTGTACCTTTCCCTCAAATAACAAGGCCATGAGAGGAATAGATTAGAATAATAGTTGGGAGGGACCTTGCAACTAGGTCATCTAGTCCAGGGGTCTCGAACCTTGGCAACTTTATGCCTAGAGGACTTCCAACTCCCAGAATTAAGTCCTCCAGGCTTAAAGTTGCCAAGGTTCGAGACCCTTGATCTAGTCCAACCCCCTGCTCAAGGAAGAGACCCTACACCATTTCTGACAGATGTCTGTCCAGTCTTCTTCTTGAAAACTTCCAAAGATGACGCACCCACAGCTTCTGAGGAAGCTCTTTATTTTGCTTCGCGCATCTGCCAGTTTGGCAGAACTCTCAAAAAGCAAAGTTTGACCAACGAAAACACGGCTAAACCGTCGCTAAGAGAACAACTTGAGATCGCTGGACTTAAATTGCTGGGGAGGGGGGAAATGGGGGTGAGCGGGATAAGCGGGGCGCGAGCTCGCACATCCTTTCTTCCTCTCGGACATCTTTCCCGATCCGTGCAAGGGCCGCTCTGTGATTGGCGGAGTGCAGGAAACGTCACGTAGTACGGCAGCGGCCTGGCCGGGGGTGGTGCCGGCGATACGTTGCTTTCCTCTCTAGCCTCTCCATTTCTGTGCTCTCTTTCATGCAGCCGGGGGAGGTCGCAGCAGCGGGCAATCGGGCTCTGCCAAAGGTGCAGCTATGGTCGGCGTCTTCTCCTACGAGAGCTTGGTCCATGCCGTGGCTGGAGCTGTGGTGAGTTGGTTGCGGAGGAAGCGGTTGTGAGGAAGACCCGGAAGTGAGGGGACAGGATTTGGCTGGATTATAGGAAGGCACGGAGATGGAGGGGCTTGTCCCCCCTGCCTTCGGTGCATTGGGCTAGAAAAATAAACTGCTGTTATTTGAAAGTTGTCCTCCTAATTTTTGTCCCTGCAAACAGTTTGCAGATCAAATGGATTATTGTTATTTATGACTGTTTTAATATCTGGATCATTGTAATAAAACATGTAGTGTACAATCCAAGAATCAACATAGATGGTACATCTCTTTATTATCAGTGGTCCAGATTAAAAACATAATTCGGTACAATATTCACCGTATTATATATATCTCTTCTACTAGAGTAAGTTCAGAACTCTAAATAAAGCATGCTGTCATTTTCATATGTCATCCACTATGATGAGTTCTTTTTGGTAAATGCTACATCCAAAAAAAGGGGTATAATTTTTCTTCCCTTTGTTACAAGGGATTTTTTAATTATACCAAAATACAGTGATCCTTAAACAGGAAGTATGATACTTCCTTATTTCTTACCTGTGACCCTATTTTTACATATTCTGTGTTACTTCTAAGGATTTTTACGTATGGGTTCTATGAATATTCATAAAATCCTTGTTCTCTCCTCCCCTTTTCCTTTACAGACAGATTTGAATTATTTATATCTGTGAAAAGATATTGCAGTGGTTAGCTATATTTTGGGCTGCTCTCTCAGCTGTACAGACTGCTGGGCAAATTCCTTAGTTGCAATTAAAGCCACCTGTTAACCAATCTTTAGGTACATTAAAATACCTGTCTGGTTTGGTTGTGCAACCCAATAAGACAGACACAGACTTCAGAGGATAATTAGAACTGCAGAAAAAACAATTGCTACCAACCTGCCTTCTATTGAGAACCTGTATACTGCATGAGTCAAAAAGAGGGCTGTGAAAATATTTACAGACCCGTCACATTCTGGACATAAACTGTTTCATCTCCTACCCTCAAAACGATGCTATAGAGCACTGCACACCAGAACAACTAGATACAAGAACAGTTTTTTCCCGAATGCCATCACTCTGCTAAACAAATAATTCCCTCAACACTGTCAAATATTTACTAAGTCTGCACTACTATTAATCTTCTCATCGTTCCCACCACCCATCTCCTTCCACTTATGATTGTAACTTTCTTGCTTGTAACCTTACAATTTATATTGACTGTTCCTTAATATGATTTGATTGTTTATTTGTACTTTATGACTATCATTAAGTGTTGTACCTTATGATTCTTGACGTACGTATCTTTTCTTTTATGTACACTGAGAACATATGCACCAAGACAAATTCCTTGTGTGTCCAATCACAGTTGGCCAATAAAGAATTCTATTCTATTCTATTCTATTAACTGGCTTTGTTGCTGGCTTATGATTCAATATTTTCAGCCAAGTACCAATTGTTGCCATCCTCTTAAGCATCTTATAATTTTTTGCTAAGAAGGGAAAAGTTCCTTATCAGCTGTTGGATGGCTGTTACTTGTCAGTGTTTTTACTTTTGAGACTGAATTCCACATACCCCTCTCCCACACCGACATATACCCCTCTTTGTCTGGCATTTCCTCCTCTTTCACTTGCAACCTTAATTTCTTCTGCTGTCCCAAATAATTCCAATTGCCCATCTCAAAATACAGTATACACCCATATCTAAATACTGAAGACATTTTCTCTTGGAGCACAGGTGTGGCCCAGCTACTCATGCTGTCTTAAAGGTGTGGGAGGGTTTTACTGGATAAAAAGAAGGAAAGAAAAGGCTTGTATTGACTGTTGTAAGACTCTTCTTCCATACACAGAAATTAGATTACACAATTTTACAAATATATTGTCTTGCATTTTATATCTGTTTATATGTGAGGTAGTTGCGCAGTTCAGGAAAGCAGTTAAAGAGTAATAGTTCAAGACTGATTTCATGAGAAATGTGAACAGTCTTTATCTACCCATTCTATTCTAACTTGTTTAGACCTGCATAGGTGGAACAAGAATAAGAATTTCATGTGCTCATTGTCTTCTGGCTCATGGATTTAAACATTAACAGGTTGCTAAATAAGTTTCACATTTCTTAATGTGTCTGAATAATTTTGATAATCAAATAAGAAATTAGATCATATCTAGTTGCTTGTGTGGACATGTTATACAGCGATGTTTAAAAGTTAGTGAATCTTTTTTATTTTTAATATTTTTGCATAACTATGACCTAATAGTTTTGAAATATTATCTAAAATGTGATCTGCTTGCCACACAATTCTAAAACTAAATAGATTTGATTAAACAAATGAGTCAAAAACTATATAGTTGTTCTATATATTAAGAATGCAGTGCGTATTTGTATTAATTCCTCCTTTCCTTCTTTGATAAGTATAATAAAGATTAATGTTAAAACTTTAGATAGAATGCTACAGGGATAGATGTGTATAATATATCAATATTGTGCTTCACCCAAATATCTTATCAAAACTGTATTATGGCAAGTTGTAAATAAAATATAAATATTAAGTTATTTCAGTGTGCCTGGAATATGCACAAAATCGCTGTTTCAAATGCATACAGTATCAAACTGAACTTTAATTTATTGTGAACCACATTTTTAATGGGCAGTTGTATGAAGATTTTTTTAAAATAAATATTTTCATAGCAACGGTCAGAACCACAAAGTTCTGTTTAAGTTGAAAGCTAATTCATGTACAGGAAGCTTTTTCACTGCCATATTTCATAATGTTTGATGTTGTTTTCTTTCAGGCAAGGTTTTAAAAATATCCTCCTGAGTTGCCCAGTTTTGTGCTATTTCCTGCACAACATGCTGCACCGTTAATTTAGTCTGGTTACTTATTTATTTCCTTTATAGCAATATCTTTATTTTATTATATATGTTCGTATTTTAGATCCTATTCTAGTCATTGTTTTCCTGCTACATAAACAGATGCAGTGGTGGGATTCAGTCAGTTCACACCACTTTGGGAGAACCGGTTGTTAACTTTCTGAACATTTTGGTTCCATGGTTGTTGGAAGAAATCATTAGGGCAGAGAACTGGTTGTTAAATTATTTGAATCCCACCACTGCACAGATGTATGTACCGGTAATAGTTCTACTATTGGATATTTTACTTTACCTGCTCAAACGGCTGCAATAAACTTATTTGATTTAATATAGGTCATTGTAGATTTGGAAAAAAATCTGCATGCTCTACATAGTTAATTTTTTTGTGCTAAATGTTTTAGGGTAGTGTGACAGCAATGACAGTGTTTTTTCCTCTGGATACAGCTAGACTAAGACTTCAAGGTGAGCAACCCATTTTTTACATTTAACCTTTGAGAATATTATATATGATTTACCAACTTGTTTTTGCATTTATATCTTAAAATTTGTTCAGGGTAATAGCTGATCTTCTTTATTTTGCTAGCTAGTTAGTATATTTTTGTATTTATTTAGTTCACTCTATTTTTGTTTTGTTCTTTTAAGTTTTGTTGGTCATTGATCAAATACATGTTATTAAGTGATTGATCTGTTTTATCCAATAATTTGTGGAGAGGTGCTAGGCTACTACGGTACCTATTGACCAGTGGTGGGTTGCTCCCAGTTCTGTCCGGTTCTTTAGAACTGGTAGTAAAAGCGGTGGGAGGCTCCGCCCAGACGTCATAATTGACTATCTGCACATGTGCAAAAGCTTCTGCGTATATGCAGAAGTGCGTGCGCTCCTGTTGCGAACTGGTAGTAAAGGTAAGTAGAACCCACCCTTGCTATTGACGTGTAAGTGGCAACTAATGCATTTTGTGGCTGACCAGGGCTTTTTATTGATTTCAAATTACCCCCCTGGGGTTTTTTTAAGACACTGTGTACTCAGCAATAACTAGTCACAGATATGTAACAATTTTGCAAAGTATATTGATTACAGCATGTCTCTGTTGTGATAATCTTCAGAAAATGGAACTTGCAAAATCTTTGCTACCTTGGAAACCTTTCAGATTCCTAACTAAGCTGCTGAATCTCCTTAGTATGATATTGTTAGAGTGATTAGAGAAAAGACTCATTAACAACTATATTATTTTGTGTTTCTAAACTGCATGAAGATATAACCTGGATGTTCTAAAAGATTACCATATTTATTATTCTTTATTCTCAATACTGTACATCCAGTAATGAAAGAAGGTTATATTCACATGGCAAATGTACATTTTAGCAAAATACAGTAACCTCAGTTTGAGAAATACAAAGAGGTGATGGAGAAATCCTTTAAAAAAAATAATTTTAGGATTTGTTGATTAAGTTTAGAAGACAGATATTTAAAACTGAAAACAGGCAACCAATATAGTTATTCTTAGAGCAGATATAAAATAATCTTTTGATGTAATCTTAAACTTTCCAATGAGGAAAAGCAAAAAATCTACGCATTTTTTTATTATAATTTGTTTACATGCAAACTTTTCTAACCGTATTTCTTAATTTGTGGTCAGTTGTAGGCCTATCCATGAAGGAAGAAACAACTGTTCTGTTTTAGATTGAATTAGTGAACCTGAAGATTAAATACATAATGCACTTTTACTTCTGCCCTAGCTTCCCCATCATATTAGAAGATGATCTCAAAGCAGTATTGAAATATATTAAATAACTTTTAAAAAATATTTCTTGTTTTCCAGTTGATGAAAAACGCAAATCAAAAACCACACACGCAGTTCTTTTGGAGATAATTAAAGAAGAAGGCATGTAAGTACAGGGCTATTTTGTTAGGAGAATTAGTTTTCTTAGAACTTCTGTGGAGAACAATGTGTAGAGTACATCTTCCTAAATTTCAATTAAGTAATTTGAATAATAATTTAAACAGAGCCATTAGAAACTAAACCATCTTTTAGAAAGCACAAAAAAATAATAAAAAAGGAATTGATGAACAAATTTTTCTTTGTAATTCAAAACACTATTAAAAAAATTAAAAGTCGGGTTTAATCTTCCATACTAAGGGACTTGCTGCAATATTGTTTCTTCAAGAAGAATTTCTAGGCAGGAATTACATTGGCTGAAATCTTGCCTGAATAAATTGGCCTATATATAGTTAGCTTCTGTCACATAAAAACATTTGTGATGTCTTTAGTATGAACAGAATATTGTTAATTATATATGTACAGTATGTTAATTTTTAAAATGTGTCTTCATAAAATACTGCTATATCTGAAAGGAAATGCTTGAAAACAAGAAACTGTGTGTTTGAATTGGATGATTCTTGCCTTCAGATCGGAATTGTATTCCTTTTGATTTTTCCAATAATATATCCTCTTGGGTTATTTTCATAGTTATTCAGAAATAAAATTAAAGTTCAGTTAAATTTAATCCTGCATACAGAATTGTATTCTGTTAAATACAGTTAATAAGTATTTAAATATGTTTTATTTTGTCACTTGGTTTCTTGAACTCTTAACCCAAAACCCTTTAGTTAAATATATTTAATTGATTATGTTTGGAATGGGGTGCAGATATGCTTTTTTGCTATGATGATTGCATTATTTTCATTTTTTGCTTTTGTTATTTTGTTCCTTAGCATTGCACCATATCGAGGGTGGTTTCCTGTTATCTCCAGCCTTTGTTGTTCCAACTTTGTCTATTTCTATACATTTAATAGTTTAAAAACTCTTTGGGCTAAAGGTCATCATTCAACTACAGGAAAGGACTTGATTCTTGGGGTGGTTGCAGGTAATAAAATCCTATCAGAAATTTATTGATTTTGGGATGTGGATTAATTTATCCATGAAGGCAATTTAAAATAATGAAGCAGAAAATGTATTTTTAACATGAAAGGATTTGTCTCATTTCCTCTTTTCTAGTTTTACTCGTCTTAGATTTTTCACTTTTGTATAACTGAATGTTCATTTCATTATCTTATTTTTGAACATGAGCATGTGCTGAGTTGATGTGTATACTCATATCTTTGGAAAGTCATTCATTTGATATTAGCAATGAAATCTCATAATTTTTATGAAATATTTTAATATAGTGTGAGTGGTAAATATAACTATGTATATAACAGAACCTGAAAATATATGTTATGAATTTAATGTCAAATGTTTTCCAAAGCTTATATTATATTTCCAAATTTATATGTTTGTGTATTTGTGTTTACCTATCACATTTATATAGCCACCCATTTCACAAATATGATTCTGAGGAGTGTACAATGAAGCAAACAGTCAAAACCATCTAAAGCAACAATTGAAAACAGTTAAACACAAATATAAATAAGAAAGCAGTAGAATGGATCAGCATCCTACACACAGTGTAACAATCTCACAAGCTTATTATTTTCATAGGATTCCCAGCCTGCTGGAGGAACTCGTTTTTATTTCCTCTCAAGTAGCAGGAATGATGTCACCAAGGGTGGGTGTCATGGTAGAAAAAGCCTGCCTCTGGGTTCCTTGTCAAATGGAAATTTTTAGCAGAAGGAACCTGTAACACACCCTTCCTGCCAAACCTGATAGGACAGGTAGATGTAACTGGGGAAAGATAGTTCCTCAAATAACCTGGTCTCATGTTAAAACCAACATCTGGAATTGAACCTGGAAATAAACCAGCAATCAATACAGCTCGTAGAGCAGAGATATAATGTATATCTTTCTCTGGCTGCCAGCACTGCTGCATATTTCTTGCTCTTTATTATTTATTTTGGTTAATTGTTTATTCTAACTTGTGTTACTCTCTGATGTTATGTGCCATTTAAGGTTATTGGAGATACGCCTTTTGAATCCTTAATTTTATTTAACAGTTTAGCACGTCTGATTTTCTCAATGCATGATTTCATGATGAAGAATAATGTGGGAAGTTTGCATCATGTTAGGAAAAATATTTGGAAATATTTAGGTATGCACCTGTTGTGAAAAACAAACTGGCTTTTCTTGCCTTGCTCAATGAAATGTGTAATAATTGATAAAGAACCAAAATAAAGCAAGCTCTATGGATGTTTATGAACTAAAGAAGCTTCTTGGATGAGAAGCAAAACATTTTCAAGGAAAAAATCAAGAAAATCCAGTTTCCCTTTTGAAAAAGTACCTTTGGGACAAATTCCCTTGACTTTCCATTTTAAATATTTTTTCCTCCAGGATAATTTCAGTCTAGATTTTATGAAGTATTTCAAATGGTACCTCTTCTACTTTATACATTAAAGTTAAATTTACTTTTGATTTTAATTTTCTAAGGCCTTTTTTTACTGAATTTTGCTTCTGTTTCCTTAGGTGTAGTGAATGTACTGTTGACTACTCCACTCTGGGTAGTAAACACCCGTCTTAAACTCCAGGGGGCAAAATTTAGAAATGAAGATATTATACCAACCAATTACAAAGGCATTGTAGGTAGGTTGTTGGGGTCTCTGTGTGTGTGGTTGCCTTGATCTATTGTAATGTAATTAAATTATGCTTTTTCAACTTTAGTATACCAACACATAGCTCCACCACTCTTGAGGCAGCATTTTGGCATAGTTTTCCTTGCTCATCAAACACCCCGTGCTTTTTGTAGACTTGAAAAAGGTGCTATGCTCTCAATATCCTACCAATTGCATGAAAAAAGAACTGATACGAGAATGTAATGTATTTCATGTTCTTCTGCACATGAGCTATATTCTCCAGAAATTTCAACTTTGTTGTTGATTTTATTAATGTACAGTATACCATTTATATACTTCCTTTTTAGTCTAGCAACCATGCAACAGACTTGTTTTCAGGTCTTTATAATCTGAAATATGAGGTGGATTATTTAACAACTACTCTGTCTAGTCATTTTGTAAAAAACAAACTACCAGTTATCTTTAACTTTCAGTGTTATTTTTACAAAGTGAATTAAAGCGTATAGCTGTAACTCATATCAGTTATATGGAGAAGAAAGTTCCAGATTAATTTCTATTTTTTCTTTTTATTTAATTTGACAAAAATGTAAAATATAAGCAAAATACTAAGGTTCACTAAAAAACCAAAATTCTTAAAACACGGAGCTGAGATTCTCTCCCAGCTGAGATTCACTTCTACCAAGCAATCTCAGCTCCCTAGGAAGAAAAACCCAAGTTTAAAAGTTGATTAGCAGCAGAAAAGGAGGGAAATAAGGAATCAACAATCAGATTTCAAGAAAAAAAATGGGTTGCTGTACCGAATAAGGCTTCATCCCTAACAAAGGAACAAATTGAACAGATTGTAGTTCCTCAGGGATATCGCAAAGTAATATTGGAGTTATCTTAAGAAACTCCATGGTCTGGATATATGGGGGTAAGACCACTTACAGTATTTTAGATAGATTCTATTGGCCAGGGATCTGTGGAGAGATGGCCCAATACTGTATATCTTGCCCCGTGTGTCAGTTGGTAAAACCAAAAGGGGAACACAAAGTTCTATGGAAAGAGTACCTTTAATTCTTATTCCCTTTTCTAAAATAACGGCAGATGTTGTAGGTCCTTTGCCATGATCTAGTAAAGGCAACGAGTGTATCCTAGTTGTCTGTGACTATGCCATTTGGTATCCCAAAGCGGTTCCATTAAGGAATGTGACCACCAAAAGAATAGCAGAGGAGCTGGTTGAAATCTTCAGTAACTAGGCATACCAGAGGAGATCCTTACAGATCAAAGAACTAATTTCTAAACAGCACTGCTGAAATATTTATACATAGATCTAGGAATAAAAGAGATGTGTTCCAGTACTTACGACAGTCTTACGGAAAGGGTGAAACAGACCCTAAAATCTATTCTCAAAAAATAAGCAGGCCAAGACCCAAAACACTGGGATACATAGATGCTTTTTCTATCTGAAATTCGCTAGCCATTTACAGGATTTAGCCCTTTTGAGTTATAGTATAGGAGTCAACTTTTGGGGTTCTAGACATCATTAAGGAAAATTGGTGCAAAAATCTAGAAGGCTTTTAAACCTAATTGAATATATCTTATTCTAGAGGAACAACTTAAAATCCCTAGGACACATTGCTAAAGAATATTTAGAAACCAGAGAAAGCCAGAAAAGGCATGATAATAGAGGTTTAAAGGTGAAGCAATTTAACATAGCGGATCAAGTCCAGTTACTGTTGCCTAGTAAAGAAAACAAACTACAGGCTAAGTGGCAGGGCCCTTGCATAATGAAGAGGTGAACTGAACCAATAAATTATGAAACTGAATTGGGAGACAAGAAAAGGAAGTGCCAATCTGCTAAGGAAATAGCACAATAGAGTTGAACCTGGGATGGTTTTGCTGGTACTAAAGGAAAGGCATCCAGAATTATTGGATCAATCTTGGGGTGCAATACCTCAACTATACTATGGAAAAATACTTATCAATTCAGACCTAGGAGATAGTCAAAACTAAGATAAAAAAATATTAGGGGACTGGAAACATATGTTTACCATACAGTTGAGTGTAATATCTTACTTAGTTGAACACAAAATAGAAAAGAGCGAAACCTGATCAATTAGACCTCCCTATAGAATTCTTGAGCGGTTGAAAGACGTGTTAACAAAATGAAGTAGAAAAGATAGACATAATAGAACCATCTGTAAGTGATTGGTATTCTCCAGTTGTATTGGTCTCAAAGCCAAATGGGGATTATGGTTTTGTGCAGACCTCAGGCAAATAAGCAAAGTTTGATGGGTACCCAATGCCTAGAGTGGATGAGCTCTTGGATGGTCTAGGTCAGGGGTCGGCAAACTTAAACACTCAAACTTGGACCCATTTCCCAAAGAAAAAAACACACCGGAGCCACAAAACCTGGGCGGGCGTGGCCAACTCGATGTCACTCACTCACCCAGTCACATGACTCCCCCAGCTACGCCTACCCAGCCACAAAACTATTCTGTCTCTCTCCCCCTCTTCCTATCTCCTCCTCTCTCCCCCCCCATGTCTCTCTCCCTCTGTATCTCTCCCTCTCTTCCCCTCTCTCACCCCTCTCTATGTATCACTCTGTATGTGTCTCTATGTCTCTCTCTCTCTCCCCCCATCTCTCTCTCTCTGTGTGTCTCTCCCCCTCCCTTTGGGTGACCGTCCTCCTCCCCCTCCTCTGGCCATCGCCTTGCTCTTTCATCCCTCACCACCAACAGCTCTTCGGCTGAGTGCGGAGGGTGCGAATTCCAGCCTGAAGCGGCAGGAAGCAAAGGCTGCCTTACGTGCAAATGTGGCACGAAGGTAGGTACAGGGCAGCTTCTCTCCTGCACTCTCCTCCTCCTCCCACTCTCATGATGCCCTGGCCGGCTGTGGCTGAGTCGGGAGCATGTGCACACTTAACCCTCCTTAAGCAAGCTGCTGCTCACCCTGCTCGCACCTTTCCTGAACTTCGGTGCTCGCTTGAGGAGGGTCTCCTTGCGCATGCGCACGCTCCCAGCTCAGCCACAGCCGGCCAGGGCATCACGAGTGTAGAAGAGCCACACTCAAGGGGCCAAAGAGCCGCATGTGGCTCACGAGCCGTGGTTTGCCGACCACTGGTCTAGGTGGAGTCAAGTATTTATTGTCTTTGGATTTAACTAAAGAATATTGGTAAATTCCACTGGAACACCACTCCAAAGAGAAAACAGAGTGTGTGCCAAGGACTCTTTTGGTTTTAAAAAATGCTATTTGATCTACATGGGGCACCTGCTACCTTCATGAAGTTAATGAAGAAAATCTTATCAGGTCAAGGGAAATGGTGTGTTGTCTGTTTAGATGATATCCTCATCTACAGCATGACCTGGGAAGAACACCTTCAACACCCAAGACAAATTATTGTTTAGGAAAAGCTGGTTTAACCATAAACTGAGAAAAAGTGCCATCTGAAATATCTGTAAACTTGATACTTGGGGTTTATGGCAGGTAAGGGGGAGATAAAATCTGAACAGAGAAAGATGGCAACCCTGAAACAGGTAGTAGCCCCCAAAACAAAGATGTTTGCTCTTTTCTGGTTTTGGGGGGATATTATCAAAGGTTTATTCCTCTAACAGACCTAATGAGAAAAACAGAACCTTTGAAAATATAGTGGTGTAAGGAATGCCAGGAGACATTTTTGAAAATAAAAGATGCATCATCTAGGAAAGACCCATCATTCTCATGGGTCCAGCCAGAAAAGTATTTAACTGTTGAGAATCAGTCTTCCTAATGATTTGATGAGTGAATAATAAAGGCAGTGTCTGGTTTAATCCAGTTGTGTCATTGAATAAAAACGATTGCATTAAAGAAGCTTTTAGGACAAACAAAATGAATTATGTCTATTCAGATCTTTCAGCAGGCAATGAACTAAGCAGATGCTTTAGGGGGCATTATTTATCACAGATTTTTCACATGCACATGGCTTTCAGGAGACCTATTTTAGTTGATTTATGAGTTCCATATAATATTGAAAAGGGTTTTTTAAAATTTCAAATGGCATAGATAACAATCCATTCTTAAAACTGATTTCTTAATTGATAAGGTCTTGTGAACATAAGAAGACATTATTGTATTTGTCTCATCTTAAACTAAGGATTAGAGTAAAATATTTTCAACAGAAACATGTTACCTGTCAATCACTGAATCTCTAAACTTTCCATTGCTTCTCCTTGGGATAATGGAAACAATATATGCTGAATAGTAGAAGGAATTGAAATGAATGGTAAAATCAAGAAAAAGATCAGTATTTCTATTAGACAATTGCTGGATAAGATAATTAAAACTCTGGGGAGATTTAGGAGTAACTATACGCAAATTTAATTTATATTAAACACACATGACATGGTATCAGAAGTGTTACTTTGCAATCAGCTAATTAATCAATCAATGATAGAAGCAAGCAAATCAAAAAGTAATTTTCTGCATGCCAAACCTCTTTAAACTTAATTTGAGCGGCAGAAGGGCAGACTAAGCCTTAACTAAATGCTACTTATTTGATCAGTCTTGCATTGCTGAAAGAAAAATCAACACTGCTTGGAGTAGTGTGGCATAGAAACATTATAAATAAATCTTTGAATTATGTCACAATTACAGGAAAAAATTGAATTGATGCATAAGACAACTTTTGTGTGCTGTAATTCTGTCTGTCCAGTTTTAAGAACTCCCTCATCTTCCCTGTCACCTTGAATTTGATCATTCCAGCTTGCTAACAATTGTGCATGATCAATACTGAGCAATAGAGTAAAATCTGCTACAATGAGTCCATACAAAATGCTTTGAATTCTGATCTAAATTGCAAAATAAATGTAGAACTCTATGAATAATGCTAAACTGGCAGACTGATCAAATGTATAATTCTGCATCTGCTGTAAGATTCTTATTTCCCTTATTTATTTTTCTAATCAGATGCCTTTCATCAGATAATACGAGAGGAAGGAATCTTGGCTTTGTGGAATGGTACTTTCCCCTCACTGCTGTTAGTATTTAACCCTGCCATTCAATTCATGTTTTATGAAGGGCTTAAGAGGAAAATTTTAAAAAGACAACTGCAGGTGAGATTCCAAGGCTTACAAGAAAGATGATGTTTAACTTTGATCTCAGAAATTGTTCCATTCAACTAAATCGTTACCATTTTGGTTTAGGGTTATGATGGATTTGAAGGTTCTTAATTTTGTTTTTGCATCCAGATAATATTTTTTTTTTCATATTGTTTTAGTTGTCTTCACTGGACGCCTTCGCTATTGGAGCAATAGCCAAAGCAATTGCCACTACCCTCACTTACCCTATGCAGACAGTACAGTCAATTTTACGGGTATGTATGAATAATTCCAAATCACTTTCATTCACACCTTAATTTGTAAACCTTTGTTCCATTTAATAGTTCTTAATTTGTTATTAGATAAGCACAACTTTTAAGTTAGACTAACAAAGCTCTTCAAAACTGTTTTTCAGACTAACAGTCTGAGTCTGTTTCTCAGACTCAACATTAACAATTAGAATGTTGTGAATGAATAGTAGCATATGGCTTCCATAATGGATGCTGCTTTTCCAAAAGTACATTAGCATGCTAAGCTGCATTTATTACTCTTAGGCAGGATTTCTCTTGTTGCATTACATTATGTAATAGTGAGATAAGCCTGGTTGCTTCATACTCTCTTTGTAAATCCTTTCTATTAACACCACAGCTCAAGTTATATGCCAAACTTTAAAATAATGATTACTTATTTCTCATTCAGAAGACTGGGGAAAAAGAAGTAAAAGAGTGGCTGACAGCACTCTTCTAAGATAAGCAACAGCTAAACATTGATTAAGTTTTTCTATAATAAGAAAGAGTAAACTAACTTCATTTTCCATTTCTAAAATAAATTGAGATTATTGAATGGGACTTTAAAACAGAACTAGAAAAACAGCAATTATTTGAGCTTTCTTGCTTTTCTTAGAGACGAGTTAATTGACTGGTCCGATTCTACACCATCCCTTACTCTTCATTCTTCAGCCCATTTCACTAGCTCTCCAGCTTCTTCTAATAGAAATAAGACCACCTCAACACTGGGAGAAAATCCTGTCATAGAATGGCTCAGTTGAATTCATGGCAAAACAGTGTTTGCTCACAGCAAAGACTGACATTTTAATGTTCAAGCAATTAGCCTTCATTAAAAATAATCTGGATCTGTGGAAAAGTGACTTTGAAGTTTTGCACAAAAGCATACAGAAAGACACTCCACCTTTATTGAAACCCATGCCCAAGCAGACAACTTAGTTAAACAATAACCCTTAGGACCAAGTAATAATAATTCATAAGCCAATAAAGGTGTCAGTGTGCTGACTCTGGTGTGCAAGCAGTTAAAGAAGTTACCTCATCAAAGCTTACTCTTTGCAACCGACGGCCTCCCATCGACCTGTGCGCTCCCACAGAGAGGGCCTCCTTGGGGTGCCATCAGCCAAACAATGTAGGCTGGTAACCCCCAGGGGGAGGGCCTTCTCTGTGGGGGCACCTACCCTCTGGAATCAGCTGCCCCCAGAGATAAGGAGAATCCAAGACCTCAGTGCCTTCCGCCGTGCCCTTAAAATCTTCTTTTTCCAGCAAGCCGGGCTGGCCTAACACTTTTTTAAATGTTTTTAATTGTTTGTTATTGTTTTTAATCATGGGGCCAAATTTATATATATATATTTAATTGTATTTTAATGTTTGTAGTTTATGTTTTTACTTGGCTGTTCACCGCCCTGAGTCCTCAGGGAGAAGGGCGGTATACAAATTTAAAAATAAATAAATAAATTAATTAAATCAGGTTGTTCTTAGTTGCACAGCCTTAATTCTAGTCAGTGGGTCCAAAAGAGCAATTGTAACTTCTCTGGGATAGCTTCTTTGTTGCCTAATAGATTTGTGCTTATTTGAGTGGCTCCCACGTTTGCCTTGCAGTAAATGAATCTTATTGACTTTTAAGCAATTTATTATACCCCACATGTCACTTAAAAAGAAACAATTTATTGCTACCTTTTGGATTGTTCCAATCAAAGGGTACATGTTGGAGGGGCAGTCCCTTTGTTCAGCTCTGCTACTTGTGATCTACATAGTATTTTAATTAATAACCTGTTGTTAAAGCAGTATCTCCTCTCCCCGTTTGTCCTTGGTTAAGCAGGCAGATATGCAGAATGAGGTGAAGTTTGATACAGAAGAAGCTGTACTTATCAACACTTTTGGAGCTTTGCCCATGGTCAAGCAAGATGATACTTTACAAAGGGTAGATAGCCTTAAAAGAGAATTCTGCTATCAACCTGAATAATAAAAATTAATAGCAAATTCTAGTCTTTAGGACTCTCTTTGGAAAGTCTCTGTCCATTAGAGTTTGAAAATGCCATATATCTATCCCATTTTAAAGAACTACTCTGGTAGACAGCACATTTTCTATCTGTCACTGCTCTTATTTAATTGGGACCCTGACATATATTTCCAGGTTGCACAAATTTTGTTGATTGCTACTGCTATCTGTGTTAAAGTCATTATACTGAATTTAATGTAATTTAATGCATTGTATGTCTTTTAAAAAACAGTTTTAATAACAGTTACAGGTTTACATGTTTCATTATTGTGCTCTCTGGACCAAAGGCAAGTTTAATTCGCTTATGTTTAAGTTTATATACAGGATTATAGCTTGATCACAATACTTTCTATTAACAACCAAAATATTCCATAATTTTGCATACTTCTGTAAGCAGAAATGAAGAGGAAAAATGTTCATTTATTCATTTTGTCTCCTTTTCAGTTTGGACATCATCGACTGAACCCTGAAAACAGGAGATTAGGTAGTCTTAAAAATGTCCTCTACCTTCTTCAGCAAAGAATAAAGTAAGCTTTGCATTTTTAATTGGCTTCTACTTAACCCAATTTAATGTCTTACTAGTTTACTGTAAATTGGGCACTTTATAAATGGATAGTTACATAGAGATATATTTATTAGACATATACACACATACATAACAACAAAATATTAAATTTTAATAATAGAATAAAAGCCCTGGAATTATCCTATGATAAAAGTTGTCATATTGTCTTAAAATTAGAAGGGAAAAAAAGAGATCATCTAGTATTGCTTAGTGCACAATCCGCTATAGCATCTCTCGAGATGACCACCCAGCCTCTGACTGAAGATCTCTAATGAAGGAGTTGTCACTACCTTATATGGAAGCATGTTCCATTGATTGACAGCTCACATAGTTCCTCTTCTGCATATCACAGATATCAAGATGACAATCAGTTTTCTCCTAGGTGCCAATCACCTTCAGTTCTTCAACCAATGTCTCCCTTTTGTTTGGGATTAGATCCAGGATAGCAGACCCACTATTTCCCATATTGTTATAAATGAAGTTGTCAGCAAGAGAGTAAAAGAATTTATTGAATCTCTGATTCTTGGAGAATTGAATTTCCAGCAGATGTCAGGATAAGGGAAATCCGTTATGTCTGTTGCATGCCTGTTTGAAAGACTGGTTTTCTGATACATAAAGGCCTCATTCATATCTTGCCTATTCAAGTGGTCTATAATAAATCCCCACAATTCCCATTTTTCTTTCTCACTGTTTATTCCTATCCAAATACTTTCTGCAGGATTTCCATACTCTAGTTCATAAATTTCTGTGCAAGTATATGTTTTATTTATATACAGTGCACCATCCCCATCTTTTCATTGGGCCTGTTGTTTTAGAAGAAACTGGGCCTGTTGTCTCAGAAGAAACTATCTGATGATCCTGGACAAGTTTCTACCAAGTTTCATTAAAGCTTGTACATTATGTTTTTTTCCCTGGATCTCTCGTTGTCCCTGTTTATTAAAACGTATCAGCTCAATTTATTATGATCTGGCAGCATGCAGGAAAAGAAGAATTTATAATATTTCTTGCCACTAGCCAGCAGAAGGCATGATTAAGCCATCTCTTTTTTTTTGTATTTTATTAATTATGGTAGTATGTTTATTTTTAGCTGCCTGAGTGCTCAATTTGATTAGAAAGATGGGTTATAAATCTGATAAAAATTATTATTACATTGTGTATTCCACACAATTCCTAATGATTCTGAGATAATTAATTAAAACCAATCAATTGGAAATGCCAGTCTCTTTTCCCAGACATAGCTACATCTAGAAGCCCAGTGGAAGACAGAATCTGCAGTTCATTCTACTCAATTAGATAAAGTCAATAGGGCACTGGTTTTGTTGGCATCTGGTCAAAGAGTGCATCATATCCTTAAATCCTTAGTCATTCTTAACAATTGCATTCAAAGAGTAGAAGAGAGCAGAATTGATGTATGTTTGCTATAGAAGGAAGAATTATCTGCTGTTTGTTTTTTAATAAATATAATGTTTAATATGTTTTTTTATAGGCGCTTCGGATTAGTAGGACTCTATAAAGGACTAGAAGCAAAGCTGCTCCAGACAGTCCTCACTGCTGCACTCATGTTTCTTGTCTACGAAAAACTTACTGCTATTACTTTCACAGTCATGGGGTTAAAGCATCCATTAAAGAACTAAAATATTTGGCTATAAAAGCATATAAAACTAAGAGAGAAAAAATCAGAATACCTGACAAATGATTGGGTGCCATAAACAATTTTATCCCAAGGCCAAAATTTTATTTTACTGTTCTTGTGTTTTCAATCAAAACTGTTGAATGTATCATTCCAGTATCTAGAAGGCTTCGCCTTTATTCAGTTTTATGTAAAGATTGGGACATTCTTTGATTTTCCATATATTTTAAAATATCCTTTAAGCACTAATTCTCCATTAATTTCTCCATATCAGATGATATTTCAAATATTTGGTGTTATATGATCATCTTAATAATGAGTCCAATAAAGATTTTATTAAAAAATGTCCTTAGAAGATAAGCTTTAATTGGCTAAGAATGTTTTAATTGTCTTGGAAGAACTGAGTTGTATTCTCTTATACCTTCCTGTACCTTATACCAACCTAAAAATTTTGAAGAATGGATTTGAAATTGTTCTAAGCATCAATTTTATTACCGTTTTAATGCTTAATTAAATATTGTGCCAAACTTCCCTAGTATGATAAAATTGAATAATATACATAAATATAGCATGTTAATCATGTCAGATTTCTGACATTTAAGAAATTAAAATCATTCCATACATACTTTTTTCATTCTTCTATCATATGAACCATTTTAACATAAATTGTAGAATTGGGAATTATCTTTTTATACTAGTAAAGCCCCATCTTTTAAAAAAATGTAATTACCATGTGAGATTATTCAAACATTGTGATGATTTATTATATAAAAGTAGGTAACTATGAATCTTGGGTTTATATGTTACCTCTCTGATTTAATTATAGGGCAGTTGAAAACTTCAGTTTTTTAAATTGCATTTTTCCTTTTGTTCTAATCCAACTTCAAAACATAGGCATAAAAATGGTTTATTATTTTCAAAAAATTATAGTTAAGATTTAACTATGCTCCTTTAAACAGTATTTTAAGCAATATTTATATATGGTTAATAAACAAAATTAGTTACTACAGCCATGCTGAAAGAAGAGAATAAAGATAGAATGTGCAAGTTTATGATTCATTCTTATTGTGATAAACCATAGTATTGTACTATCTGTATATTAAATAAATGCACATATGCCCTATTATTAAAACTGTAATTAAATTTTGAAAAAAAAGAACCAATCCACAGCAAATAATAAACATTTCATATTGTAACTGTAATAAGTGAAAGACTAAGAATTATTCAAGAATATTTATTATTACTCCAGATCCATAATTGATTAATAAAGAATAAACCTGTTTTGAAATTTATTAAGTTATTCTGTTTTTCAAAACAGAAACATTGTTTGGACTGTTTCTTATTTTTGTTTTGCCAAATATTAGGTCACAGTAACTTTTAATCTGTTATTATTGACATGGTGGGAAGGCCAAGCAGTCTCAGTGGACCCTAAGAGGAATGCAGATGCAGGATAGGAAGGAACTAATAAACTTGAGAGGAGAAAAGCTAAGCATAATCCACAGTGGGATGAAGAAGGCATGAGAGGAAAGTCATCCATCTAGAAGGAACTCTTAAATCAAACCCAAAAGGATATGAAAGCAAACATCTGTATCATTGTCAATGAAACTGTATAGACATAGCTTTTATGTTTAAATAAATTTGGGTGGAGCTGATGAGAAGTCTTAGGTTGGAAGACACTCATGTAATAACATGGGAAGAATATCAAGTTTCCACAGATTACTTTGGAGTTGAAGATGTGGCAAGATAAAAGCCTCAAGGACTGTTGGTTACTGATTATTGAAATAATAGTTCTCCAATTAACAACTACATGCATCTAGTAATTGAAAGTGAGGATGAATCAAGAAAAAGCAAAATAGAAATGAAACCATTTGTATATTTTAAGGAAGAACTGAAATTATGAAAACAAACTAGGCCAGTATAACTCCTTGTACTACTTGTGTGACTTTATCAAAAGAATGGAATGGAATGTCAATATACTAAAAAGGGCTTGTCTTGCTTTCAGTATTCTTCAAATGGTAGAAAAATGCACAAGATAATTGATTTTATATATTAACCAACATGGAAGTCTTAAATTGTGCTATGGAGAATTGGATAAAAGAGGGGATCAGTTGATAGATGATGATGGTAATTTTTAATATGCTGTGCTGAGAGATAAATACCTATTAGATGTAACTCAATGGCAATATTTACAGCTACAACGTTACTTAACGCTCAGTCTAGCAGCAATTTTAGCTTCTGAGACACCTGAGATACTAGAACAACTGGATAAATCTTTTGAAACAAAAGTATTCCTACCATTAGCTTTTATAGGCATTTGTTATCAATAAATCTGTTATGCAGAAGTAAAAAGATGAGTGGAATAAAGAATTAGAGCTTGTATTGCTTAGACAATGGGAGACTGAATTTTATGACAAGAGTGTCAATTGCTTTATGAAATAAAATAATATTTAGAATGTATTGGACTCCATTGTGTTTGTATAGGAAAGGATTGTCTAAAAGACAGAATTTTGTTGGAGATGTAAGAGGGACAATGCTTCCTTAAAATATATCTTTGTACAACATTGTTAGTACGGTAGGTTTTGGGAGAAATAGTGGACTATATAAACATGACTGTGACAAAAACTAAAGTTTTCAGAGGATAATCTCTTGAATTACATACCTAGTACAGTATATGGAACTTGAACTGAACAATATAAGTGTTTTCTCTGAGCTCTTAATTATGTTTAAAAGACTCGTACTGCAATATTGGAAAGATAAATGTATCTCGTTTACTTCATGGATTGAAGATTTGATTAAATTTGCTATGTATGAGCAGACTGCATACAGATGTAAACTTTGTTTGGATAAATATAATGAAATATGGGACTCGTTTATACAACATACAGTAGGGTACAAAAAAACCTGTGATAGTTATATAATTGCATTAAAAGTGTGTGTATATATAATGTTTATATTAGATAATATATAAATTATAGCTGTTTATTGCAATGACATATCATACCTTATATACTGTATATATTTTCTGTTGCATTTCTTTTTACTCACTTTTAAGCAAATTCTGTATTTTTTTTTTACTACACATGTATTTCTGTGTCTTTCTTTTTTGGACATTTTTTATTAATTGAAAACTGGCTTAAGGCTTCTAACACTGAACTTCAGCAAGAACATGCATGATAGTTGCTTTGCAAGAGATCAATCTTTAAATGAAAAATAAAAAAAAGAGTTAGTTCAACATACTAGATTGGTGGAGAGAAGCTCATATAGCCGTTACTATGATGGCTTTTAGCTACCAGCATATGCAGTATTTATATCCATTTGCTAAATAATAAAGAACAAGTTACATAGTACAGCCACTAGAGGTCACAGGCTGTTAGGAAAATAAACTATGCTCTGCATTACTGTATAGCAGAAACAGACATTTGTAGATCTTTACTGACAGGTCTCTGGGTGATCTGCACTACCTCAGCAAATAATTCTCTTTCCTAATTACTTAACCAAAGTGACAACAAAATGATTCCATCTCATCCTACATAGTATAATTTGTAGTTCTAAAATGAAAACCAGTTCTGTTGGCCACTTGGTTTTTGTTTCAAAGGAATGTAAGTTATGTTCATTTCTGGTATTCAAAACATATTTTTTCCCCTCAGAATTATTTAAATAAGGTTTTTTTGTACCAGGCTCCTGTTGGTAACTCTAAAAAAATGCCATCAAAAAACAGTAGAATCCAGAAAATAATAAACAAAAACCTTAAGAAACTACTTAAAATATGCCTTACCTTTAATAAATTAATGATGTTTAGTTGTTTAACATTGTTTAACTTTCACAGTTCTAATAAATACAGAAATTTAAATTTGATTAGCTGACATGTTTCCCCCATACTATGGATTATTACTGCACAGGTGAATGAATATTTGGATTGTATATATACTTTAGATAGACGGTAATTGAGGATGTGATTTTTTTTGTGTTTATGTAGCATTATTGAAACAAATTATTGAACAATCCATTGAAGGATTAATCAAATCATGCTGATGCTGAGGTTAAAACTGAATTTCAAAACTAAAGTGTAAAGATACAAATAATAAGTAAAAATAGGTAAAAAAGCCATATTTTTAACATGACATAAGAGTATTTATAGAAATAATTTTATAGGAGACCAGAAGTTAGCATGGGTCTGCAGCGCAAGACAACTGAAAAGACTAAACTAAAGCAATCTAATACATCAACAGATTATGGCATCAATACTCTATCTGCAATACAATCTGCATACTGCTGTCTTGGAAGGATGCCAAAATATTGGCAAAGAGATGAGCAAAAACTAAAGGGTTTATGCATGGCTTCCCTATTCCTTAAATTACTTAAATGTTATTGAAAAAAAGCCAGGATGTCAGTATGAACCATTATTCACTTTCTTGACCTTACTATTTAAAATCCTCTTCCAAGGACATTTTGGCAGCCCTCTTCCTAACTACTTTATCCATTTTTCTACTAATATTCTACTTGTAAATATTTTTTCTAGTCCACCAATCATGGGTATAATTTGTCTACAGGTAGTCCTGGAGTTATGACAATTGAGCCCAAAATTTATGTTGCTAAGTAAGACATTAAGTGAATGTTGCCCCATTTTATGACCCTTGCCGTAGTTAAATGAATCCATTGCAGTAGTTAAGTTAGGCACATGGTTGTTAAGTGAATCTGGCCTCCCCATTGACTTTGCTTGTCAGAAGGTTACAAAAGGGGATCACATGAGCCTGGGACATAAATATGAATCAACTGACCACGTGACCATGGGGATGCTACTACAGTCATAAGTGTGAAAAGCAACCATGTCACTTTTTTCAGTGCTGTTGTAACTTTGAACGGTCACTAAACAAACTATCTCTGTTAAAATATGTTTTATATTGCATTTGGTATTGCTGAGTGAGAAATATGGGAGCTGGAGTCCAATTCATATGAAAAGTATTAGGACCAAGAGGAGTGTGCAAACAGTAAATCCTGAACCTTATTAAGGGGTTGAAATTATAATAAAGAGAATTTCAGTTAAATTGGCAAAATCTTCCCGGTAACATGAGTGAAGGTGAGGTCAACTGTTTTCCATTTGTCAAAGAAGTCTAAGAAGAGACTTTCTGGAGGATCAAAAGCAAACCATCCCAAAGCATTTCCAAGGAAGTTACATGCCTCTGCTACACATGTTGGTGCACTATCCCTTTAAGAATTCCTCCATCTCCTTCCTCCCAGGGCCATGACAGCATTTGAGTACTCTATCTTCACCTAGGGGCGATGACGTAATTCTTATCTTCTAATTGGCTGCTTTCTCGTTCAGTCACTTTTTTCACCTTCCCGCCCATCCCTTTCCCCCCATTCGCCGCCCAGAGGCTGTTAACATTCCTAGTTACTCCAACAACCGTTGACGGGAACCGGCGTCATTCATCGCCGCTCCTCCTTTTCATTGGCTACGCAGCCTGTCAATTTTGGACTCCGGCAATTGATGGGCGGGAGCTTCCGCGGCGGGTGAGAGAGGCTCGGAGCCGGCGGCAACGGAGGTGCTGGCGAGAGCGGTCTCTTTGCGTCTCGCGGACAACTTTTTGGTCGGGGGAGGCGTCGACTTTGGAAGGCAAGGACGACGGTTAGGATGCATTCATGATCAGGTGAGTGAAAAGAGGCTGCGGTTTTGCACGAAAAGGACGGACCGGCTGCTCCCCCCTCCCTCCCTCCCACCCACCCTTGGACTCTTCCATGTATGGGGCAGGGAACCGCCCCTCTGAAAAAACACAAACCGGGGCTGCTGGAGGTTTGGCTGGGGTCGCCGCGCTCCTTCCGTTTCTCGCGATGTGAGGACCGTGCTGAGCCGCCGCCCTTCATCCTGGGAAGCTCCCGAATGAACAGCCGCTGCCGGCGGACACTCTTAATTTTTTCCCTCCAGTGAGTCAGACGGGGGCGGCGGCGGCCTTCTTCGCCAGTTCTTTTAATCGGCCTGATTTCGGGATGTCCCTTCGCCCTCTTCCGTCTCCTGCAGGACCTCCCAATCAAAGAGTGTAGATTCCTCTCTTTCCCCATGGATCCCCCTCGGTGAACACCCTGCTCCTCGCCTCCTTTCCTAGGTGAGCTACGAGGCTTCTGCTCTCCGCCGTGGCGCCTCCTGCAATCGTGTCACCTCATGCTTTTGCTCTTTGCTTGAACGCCTCGCTTCCTCGTTCCCTTCTGCCGTTGGAAGGGAAGGGTTTTTTTTGTTAGTAAATGTTAGGCTGGTCGACTGGGAAAAAGAATTCTGAACAAACTTTGGCTTGCAAGGAAGGTTTCCTTGGGGGGGGTCTCTTTTAACGCCCCCCACCCCTACCCCTAACCTTTTAATTATATAGGCATTGAAGTATTCTGAATCTGTTTGGGACTACCCTATCTGCATGCTGAAATTCACAACACCGATAGATTGCAATGAAGAGATACCAAAAAAAAAAAAAAGCTTTTGCTGCCATATAGTGATCCTCTGGAGTTTTGCAGGTGAGGTATATATGGAGTTTTGCAGGTGAGGTATATATGGAGTTTTGCAGGTGAGGTATATAGTATGTGATACATACAGTATGTGACTGTGCAACATCACCACATGCAGGCTTCAGTTTCAAAAATATATTGAGAAGAAGGTTGTTTTCCTGAATATTGGAATATAGTAGGCAAAAATGACCTATGATTGGTTTAATGGGCTACAGACTATTAGGCATTGTTTGCCTAACATTGTTCACATTGTAGCTGCATATCTTGATAACCATAAGAATATGTTTTGAATAATCCCTAATAAAATTATGTTCTGCGTTACAGACAGAAGACATGACAGTTTTCTTAAGTTTCCCATTTTGAATCCACTTCAGCATCACTCTTTTTTTCAAAGAGTAGCTGTTTCTGTAAAAACAGGTCATATGCTGCTTTCATATGAATGCATTTATTGTACTTTGTACTTTCACATTATTCATACTATGTACATATTCTAAAGTGGACTGTTAAGCCACTAGATTTGTTAGCTTTTCTGATATGATTTCTTCCCTTTGCAATACCACACATGCTTTTCTTAAAAGTGCATATTTCTACCTGCTTCTGCTGATGGAATGGTTTCTCAGAACATTTCTTTTATTTAAAAGTATATGACTAAGGTTCCATTTATCAAGCAACTTAACTGCGTATTGACTGTAGTTCTTTGTTTCCATGAAAACTCTCCTAAAGTGCAGCTCATTTGCTTTAATGAGCACAGCAGTAGAAAATGGTACATTAATAATTGTTGCTTTGGATTAGGTATTAAATAAAATGTTAAAAGATTTTGATATTAGCGAGTTGAGAAAACAAGATCTAGATTGCCATTCTCTGTTCCAACTCAATAATTTAGTTTTCCTCATCTAAACAGTGTTCTTCAGCCATACTTGTTCCTTTTATACATCATATGATAGTGTGATCACCTAAATATGAAAGGTACCTGAAAACATAATCTGCATATTTCTGATTAAAACGTTGATTTATATGCAAAAATGGATAACTACATAATATATTTTGGAACTAAATATATGAGAATTATCTGTTGGTTATAATGGATAAAAAGTAAAACAATGATTTTGACTGCATAATGTTTTCTTTGTTGTGTTCTGCAACTTCTGCAAAAGATATATTTTATTTTGAAAATGATTTATATATCTTCTCAACATCCCTCTTTGGTTTGGACATAATATTGTTTTTTTAAACCTTGACTATGCATTCATGTGAACATCAGCAGCAACTGATTATACACAATAATAGCTGTAACGTACATGAATACTCCAGCATATATTACTGTTTTGAAATCCTAAAGTAATTTAAATAAAGGAAATTTTGGAATGAAAGTACTTCCAAAGTGCTTATAAAAAGTATACTTTCCTGAATTTTAATTATTAAATTAGGTACAAGCTAATATTTTGAAATATACCGTATATGGTATGAGCTACCTATATATTTGTGAAAAAAGGAAAATATCATGGTTTCACAGAATATTAAAATCCATGTTAACAGTTGTTTATGTGCTCAGTCATGTAACTGTACATCTTCAATTTTTTAGCATTTTGGGAAGATTCCGTAAGATCTACAGAAATAATGAATATAGTTCATAACATAACCTTTGAAGTTTTCAGAAAAATGAGTTGTGAATTAATGGTGAATGCAACCATGTATGCTAGCAGTTTTTAACCATTCGCTGTAGGAAGTTGGTAAAACTAATAGTAACTACTATTCTGCAATTATTTAGTTGTCTATAGTTTTCAATGTTTGTGCAAAATTACAGAAAAGTACACAGTTTGGTATTACTGGATTCAGTATGCAGCATTCTTCATGGCTGTGGAATTCAGAAACTAAACACAACATGCATTCCTTAATTTATTTAGATTATTTATTTTCTGTTCTCTGTTGCATAGACTTTATTTTTCTTTATATCAATCCAATATTTTATCTATTGGAGTCAACTTATTTTCTTTATTCTCTTCCTCTTCTGTTTTAATATATTTTAAAAACTATACGCATATATTTTAAATTGTATATTGCAGCAATTTATGTGGAAATAAGTTTGAACTCAGTAGAATTTACTTCTGAATAAGCTTATATAGTTTTCTGTTGCATGTATATACAGGTAGTCCTTGTTTAGTGACTGCCTCAGACAGCAACTGTTCACAGTTTAATGACACTGATGAAACTCATTTTAGAAAAACCTGGAGATTTATGAAGTTTTGTGATTAAGAAAACTAAATGCGACATTACTTTATGTAGAAAGCAAGCTGCTGTTGAAGCCAAGTTGATTCAAAATTAGTGAAGCAAGAAGATGATCTTTGGGGAATTTTAGATTAAAAAACTACTAAAGAGGGAAATTTTGGAATAGTTACTTAAGAGTGTACTAGGCATTCCCTATTGTGCTGAAAATACTATGCACTATTCTTTAATTTGAAGTATATTAGCATCTTTTGTATGTTTTGCTTTTGGATTTTTAAGATGGTGTGCTTCAGATTATTAGTTCTAGTCAGACAATTTTATCTGTTTTCTGTTTAATAGCATGACAGTTATTGTCATTATGAACTCTGAGTGATAAAGAAAAGGAATGTCTGATTTCTAGAAACATGATTTCTATCACATTAAGCCAATGACATAGTATGATGTCTGAATGTAGCCATTATTTTTCAGTTGAAAACTATCAGACATTATAAACTAATTCAAAAACATCTGAAAGTGAAACTCATTCCTTTGCACATTTACTATTCTCAGCAGGATGTTCCACTTTATAAAGATGATAGTGTCTCATTTGAAATGCACTTTTTAAAGAAAATTGCATGAATTAGTTTTAAATCTCAATAGTTCAGATGTTAATCCTTCTAAAATTTAACCATTAATAGAATTGACTAATAACTCATCTATAGGTAGTTTGATTGATCTGATAAAATTAAAAATATTTCCTATATTTTCTAGAAATATAACATATTTTAGTAGGATATAGTATATTAATTTCTGAAGATGTGCTGAAATTGCTTAGAGCAAATGATTGATATTAATTATATATTACATTTCTATACCATCAGCTATTGATTTTTTGTTGTTTGTATTGGATTATGTGTTTTGGCTGTTTGGCTATCAAGGAAACAAAAAATCATACAGATTACAATAATGCTGGTTTTAAGGGCAGAGTACAGAATCTTTGAGACAGGAACTCCCAACTTTTAATTAGGGAGTTAACTGAAGAGAATTTCCTTGAACCATTTGTCACTTTTCTTTGTTTTATGAGTGGGGAGAAGACGAATAAAATCCAAGTTCCTGCATGGAGATCAGAGATTTCTTGAGCGCCAGCTGGAGATTTTCCATGTTGCTCAGCTACTCTGAAGCTCTGACTCACAAGTAGTGGAAGGCAGATAACACATTATAATTGTTGAAATAGCAACAGTTTGGCCTGGACATGTAAACAGAGATATATAAACATTTCCACTGAATTGAGAAATTTATTAGTAAGACAAGACTTCTACATCTTTTCAAGATGATGTTATGTTCTAAGAAGAAAAAATTCCCTTCCCCTCTTATCCTCTCATCATCTTATCCTGTATAGATGGGAAACAGAATATCTATTCTGTTATCAACTCTTAGCCAAGTAATGAGAAATTTATGCAATTTGAAATTTTAATATTTGATAATGGAATCCATATAATGAAAAACAGCATCCTTGCATGGATAGGGGAATAAAAGTATATCGGGGACTTATAGTAGAATTTTTCAGATGTAAATCTGCATAAACCTATGATTCTGGATAAAAGTAGCAAATAAAAAATAGGCTGAAGTATTTGTCTTGGCTGTCTTTAGTTGTTTACATTGTCTTTAAGAACACCGGAAGAGTCTTGCTGGACCATGCCATAGGCCTATCCTATTTACAGTTTTTGGAACCATTGCAAGCTCATTAATATTCATCTTGAAGTGCAATGACTAGTGTAACAAAAGTCCAATTGTGGTTTTACCACAAACTTACATAGCATTATTTGGGTGGTAGTTCTAGCTTCAGTTTCCTTTCTAATGATCCTAACAATGAATATTGCCTTTTTTACAGCAATAGAACGCATGGGTTGACATATTATTGAAGAGTCCACTATAATTCCATGAACAAATTTGGATTATTTTCTGCCAGCATGCATTACGTTGTGCAAATTCATATTGAAATGTACCTGCATTTGAAGTCCATTCACCCAATTTGGACACTTCACAATCCATTTTTAATTTTATCGTTCTGAATAGTTAGATATTAATTGGAGTCATGTTGGTTATTTTTCAGTGGCGGGGAACAGATGTCAGTGTTAAAGAGAAACTTATTTTTGGTAAAAAGGTTAGCAATTTCATATTTAAGTAGTTTGTCAGTTTATTAAATTGAATATATTTATTAAACAAATTTATATAACTGCCCAACTCACACATAGTGACTCCAGACAACGCACACATTAAAAGTCCACAGTTAAAATTCACAATTTAGCCTCCCCCATTTATATAGCTATCCTTCTCAATATGTGACTCAGCAGTTCACAAATAAAAACATTACAAAATACCAAAATAATACAATTCCAAACAATAAAAA